TGTGTGTGTGTGTGTGTGTGTGTGTGTGTGTGTGTGTGTCTCTCCAGATTCTTTGCGCTGTTTGTAGCCAAACGTCGATTTCCTAGAAGGGGCTGGGCGATGTGTTTACAGCCTCTGCCATTTACATACACATTACATAGATTACACACTCGAATCACGAGAAAATAACCACTGGACTGTGCTGTAATGTGATGCAAAACACTATTATTTACACTGACAAAAATAGTCACCAGGGCGTGTTTGCAGCTGACCATTGTTTCTAATAGCTGGATGGTTTTATTTCCCATGCATTCCTTATAGCGCATCTGTTACTTGTAATAATAAAATCAATACAGGAGCTTTCAGCTTTTTCTAGTTCGTTTGTGTTCAGATCAGTCATGATAACCGAGTTAGCTTGGCAACTTGACATTACCCAGATGTTACACCAGAGAGAGAGATATAGTGTTTATATGTATAAGTATAAAATAAATAAATGTAGTTGTATCGCTGTCAACCAGTCGACTTGTTGTTATGGCACGTAAACGTATTAATAATAATGCATGTCGTTACAAACAAGTCATTTCACCGCTGAAGCACAACTAAATCTAAATAACCTACTTACCCAATTAGCACGACGATAGCGGTCGATTTTTCTCTTTCTGATCCTGAATAATTTAGCGCTTATCTGATGAAACCGTGCTGACTCTAAATAAAAATCTGCCTCTCGCCTTTGTTGTCAACGGTCCTCGGCCGCCGTGAAGCCTCCGTTTATCACGCCGTTGCCTTCACTGAAACTCAGTTTTTCAAAATAAAAGGCCCATCAGTTGCGCTCCCGTTAGAAAAGTACCGAATGCGCCGACAAACACACGTAACAACGAGCATGACTTAACGTAAGGTACTTTTCTACACACAGCAGCCAATCAAAGGTGTTACTAAAAAGCGAAATATGTTCAAAGTTTACGGTTTAATTAAATATTTAATGACATCATGACCTATGCTAAGTTAGCATAGTTTTAATGTAGACACAATAACTTTAGTAACTAACGTTATACCATTTTTAGCGGAAGTGGTTACCATTAAGACAAGTGTTTCTAAAATAAAATAATCTTTGCTTTTGCTTTGTATATTAGAAATATAATTAAATAGGAAATTAGATAAGTAAATTACTTCCCCTACAGTAGCATTCCAGGGTTACTGCCCGTTTGGCCAGTGTTGTTTTATTAAATTTATTAAAGGGGTCATATGGCGCTTTTTTAAAGATCATTATTTTGTGTAACAGAATATGTTGACATTTAATGTTCAAAAAAACACATTATTTTTCAAATACTGTGCATTATTGTAATTCCTCTATGCCACGCCTCTCCTACAAAGTCCCTCCTTCCGACAAGCGCAGCCTGCTCTGATTGGCCAGCTGACCCAGTGCATTGTGATTTATGTTACTTTGTGAATTAAAAATGTATTATTGAATATACTCTCGCTCCATTGTGTTTCTGTGTGTGAGCTGGGACAGGAGAGAGGCGGGTTTCGTTGCTTAATCATCTTTTGTTAATGATTTGTTCGGTATTCCCAACCCTAGACTGGGGAGAACGTAACACTTTGCAACTTCAGGGATCTTATCTATGCACAATCAGCTTGTAACACTCCAAAGAGAAAGGAAAACTTGAAATCGCATCATATGACCCCTTTAATCATGTTGGATTATTTATTTAAATCATGATTATTCAATTAAATTCCATTTATACGTTTTGCTATCAACGTGCAATATGCTGGTAATTAAGAAACAAACTAATCAAACAGATTTACATACTTTTTTTTTTGTAATAAAATCTGCAAAAGTTTATTTTATTGTTCCTTTAGCACTGAATGGGTAACTGATTATTTATTTAAATCATGATTATTCAATTAAATTCCATTTATACGTTTTGCTATCAACGTGCAATATGCTGGTAATTAAGAAACAAACTAATCAAACAGATTTACATACTTTTTTTTTTTGTAATAAAATCTGCAAAAGTTTATTTTATTGTTCCTTTAGCACTGAATGGGTAAATGGTAAAGATATTTGTTTTAAAGGGCCTCCTTTCATGTCTGTAGGTGCCATAAAAATGATTAAAAGTTACGAAAGTCGTTACATCTTTAATCATTTGTGAACTATTTTTAATAAATGTTAGTGTTGCATCAAGTCTTTCACATCTTTTGCATCAAGTCTCATCTTTACCCCCAAATGGAAAGTATGACATCACTAGAATGTTCTTGCTCTTCAGATAATTATGACGGTTTATGGGGGGTTTTGAGTTAGTGGATTTTTCTACTCTTAATAATTTGTTTAAAGTTAAATGGATAAAAACATTTTTAAACAACCCCACATCCTGTTGGAATTTTATTCCAAATCATATATTTAATTCTGCTGGAGGTTTACATTTTTTATCGCGCTGCAACTTTGACATCTCTAAAATACCTTTAAATTGATCTTGTTTTCAGAAACAGGCTTTAATAAGTTGGTCACTTATACATAATTATCATTTTTCACCACATAGCTACTTTATTTGGAATACTAAAAATATTAGATATAAAAAATAAATCTCTTTTTTTCACAATTGGTTTGATAAAAATATACTTTTAGTCAGTCAACTTTTAGATGATCATGGTCAGTGTTGGGGAAAGTTACTTTTAAAAGTAATGCATTACAATATTGCATTACTCCCTAAATTATGCTACTTAGTTACTTTTTATGGAAAGTAATGCGTTATATTAATTTTGCGTTACTTTCGCGTTACTTTTTAAATATAAGCAGGGCTTG